AATAGTCCCTACCTTGCAAGTGACCAGCTCTTTGCTTCCTGTTCAGTTATTTGCTTTCCTTTTTTATTTTCTATCAATTCCACACCAGATGTGCATGTTTGAAGTGTCCTGTGCCTTTTACCAACTTGCTCTCAACTCAAAAAAGGCTGACCTCTTTATGAAGGATTTTCCCCAAATATGCAGGTGGTTTGCTCCGTCCCCTCCCCTCCCATTCCCTCCCCTCCCTCTTTTTCCTCTGTCACCCACCAGGGAAAGTTGATAAGTCCAAATCCAGCGATTGTAACGTAAAAGGTCTACATGTCTAATACTCAACAACACCGAGTTAACTGGGGTCTGAGCCAAGCTGTAACAAACGAGGCGGATGCAAATAAAAGCAAAAATAAAAACAAAAGAATTCCATGATGCATTCCTGATCAATTTTATTTAAAGGCCTAAAGCAAATGAGTCACTTCCAGGATGTAAGAAGGTGTCACAAACAGATTGTGAAATGAAAAGCCCAATGTTTCCCAATGTCAAGGGCCTGGGAGAGAGGGTCCTTTGATAACACCAGCCCTGAGTTATACAGAACCTAATGGGAAAGGAGGCTTTGTGAAAAGGAGTGTGAAGGGCCAGCTTCCCACCCACAGGTGGCCATGGCAGCAGAGCCAGGCCTTGTGATGCCCGGTCAGTAGGCCAAGTGTCCGCAGGGTCACAGCGGACAGGCGGACAGCGGTGTGTGCACTCTCCAGGTCAGATGCCTCCTCTGGGCTATTTCTGTGATGCACAGGTCAGAACAGGTCCAGACAGGTGGGGAATGCGGTCTGCAGGGGAGCTGCACGGAGCAGCCACCTTCTTGGACCCTCTGTGTAGGGGTTAGAGCTTCTGGAGACCCAGTGAGAGAATGGGGGGATGAAAGAGTAAAAAAAATGTGAGGGTGGCTGGGGCAGGGGGTTGGGGGCACAGGCAGGGGCTGGGGCAAGACGGTGACTTGGTTCTGGAGTACCCCCTTTAATCCTGCTCTGGGCCTGGGCTTTAGAGAGCCCTATTTTGTCCATTTCCAATGGTGCCCTCCCCAAAAGGTGGGGAACCCGAAGAGCCAAGGATTCTAGATTCTTTTTTTTTTTTTTTTAGATTAGTTGTTCTTAAAGTGGATTCCCCAACCAGCAGAATAGCATCATCTGAAATGCAAATTCTGGGCCTACCACAAACCTCTTGTGCTCAAGAGAATTTACATTTTTAGCAACTTCCTGTGTGATACTAAGGATGCAGATGGAGAGTTCCCAGCAGAGTTTTTTTTTTTTTTTAGATTAGTTGTTCTTAAAGTGGATTCCCCAACCAGCAGAATAGCATCATCTGAAATGCAAATTCTGGGCCTACCACAAACCTCTTGTGCTCAAGAGAATTTACATTTTTAGCAACTTCCTGTGTGATACTAAGGATGCAGATGGAGGGTTCCCAGCAGAGTTAGGGTTTGTTTGTTTGTTTGTTTGTTATTTATAAATCTAGTGGGTTTATAGAGAGCTACTACTCTATAGCGATACTCCAGCCACAGAGTTCTTGCCCAAATAGCGTGAGCCCACCTCCAAGGCCTGGAGAGCTTCTCCATCAGACCTGTCCTCATCAGAGTGTATCACAGCTCCCATGTGTGCACCTGTAGCCTGGGAGCTTGCACCTGTGGGTGCGGGTGCCCACATGCAGGTGAAGTCTGTCAGACCATGGAATGGAGCTGGCATGGGAGGAGCAGGAGCAGGATGCAGGCGGAAGCCCTCACCTGTACTCTTTCCCATGCCCTGAAAGACAGAGTGCCCCTGGTTGCAGAATCTCTCTCTGTAGATACTTTCTCCTGTTCTGACCACTCCTGAGGACCAGAGAAATGCAGGCTAGCCATTGATTAGCCCACACTTAAAAAAAATGCAAACAGAAGCAGACTGATCTCTCCATATTGCACTAGAGAGAAATAAATCATCCTTTATACCTGCCTAACGTTCTCCATTCATTGACAAACTTTCCTAAGAATTATGTCAGCGGACATGGCTTTTATCCTAGCAAGCCCTGCAAATACAGTTTGGATTATATCACATCCCTTATACCCTGGCAACTACTGGTTGCTTTGAGATCCTTGTACCTGGACTATAATGGGGAGGCAAAGGGGCAATGAGGCTTAGGGGCTAAATCAAGCATGTCAAACTCAAAGGCTAACAATGGCCAAATGCGAGTTTGACATGTTTGGGCTAAATGTTTCCACTTTGGAATTAAATAGACCTAGGGTTGGATTTCAACCTCACCACTGACTACTAGTTCTCAGACTTTGGTAATGAACTTAATGTCTCCAAGCCTTGAGTTTCCCATCTGTAGAATGGGAACTGTTCTGTGCTTGTGGATAAAGTAAGGATGGAAAATATGTCAGCCGGCCCTCAGAACATTTAGCTGGTGCAGGAAGTGTCTTAGGTTTGTCCCTCTCACCACATCCTTGGTTTGGGGAGAAATATGAGAGGCAGGAAAGTGAAGCCTAAGGCCATAGGTCCAGAGATCTGGGTGGTGGCTGAGCATCATCAGACATGGGTTTCTTTAAAGGAGAAGAAAGTGTGCTGAATTCCCACTGGTTTTCACGTGACCCTGGTATTTTTGAAGGTCTTGGCTTCTATAAATCAGCTGCCTCCAGGAGCGTTTCCCTTTTCACCTCTCTAACCCTTCCCGCCACTCCCCTCAGGTCCGGACTTGTGTATGAGAGTGAGGCAGCCAGCCCTCCGGTCGCCCGAGTGAGGACTGGGTGTGGCTGAGGCTCCAGACCTGGTGCCCTGGGGCCACATCTGGACTGGCAGTGAGGGTCCAACCGGGGGGACCCAGTGACACTTACTATTGAAATTGACCCACATTTTACTGGCTTCTGGGGAAAGCTGGGGGCTTTGGGGATTTTTGTATTTGCTGGGTTGTAAATATTTTATGAGAAGGCAGCCCAGAAAAATCTGGTTAGCTTTCTGCCTTGCACATTGAAGTGGGGCTGGCTTTATAGACAAATGTGTCAAAAAAAAAAAAAAAGTCCAGTTTTGTCTTCATCCCAAAGAATTCACTTGGGATTTTAAAAGCCTGTTATTCCCTCACACCCCCCCCCACCTTCCCACCCCCCACTCCACATACCCTGAATTTTTATTTCTCACCTGTAACCAAAAGATATATCTTCAGGGTTACTTGAAAAGTAAGAAGATTTCAGGTTGTGTGGGTGGAGGAGGGGAGAAGGTCACTGTGTGTGTGTGTGTGTGTGTGTGTGTGTGTGTGTGTGTGTTTGGCTGTGGTTTTCTCCTTCCAGAAATGTCCATTAGGATCTTTTGAATGGATAGATGCCTGGTGCTTGTGTTTCTTCATTTGCTACCTCCTCCCACCCCCTCACCCGGCAGCAAATGAAAAACAAATTCAGAAAACCTCATTGTGTTTTTTTAAATGGTGAATTTAAGAGAGAAAGAAAGAAATCACTTAACTCTTTATTCTGTGTGCTTGGTAGTGGATCAAATGCTTCAGCAAAACTGCCTGATGAGCAGCAACTCCCCCCACCCCCAGACCACAGTGGGTCTAAGCTAGGACTGCACCTTGAAATAATATTGGAGCTGTTAAAAAAGCGAACAACAACAAATCCCCCAACAAGACCCAATACCCAGGCCCAGTCCTCAGACATTGATTCAGTTGTCTGAAGCAAACCCAGGCAGCTGGTCATTTTTAGCTTCTAGTCTATAGATGATCATAACAGGCAGCCAGCTTGAGAATGGCTATTCCAGAAGTTTCTCACTCCTTGGCCTGCATGTACACTAGGTCAGGCGCGGCTCTAAGTGCTGTAACGAGCAAGATGGACTGGGCAGGGTCCCAGCTCCCACGGGCTGGTGGAAGGGGGAGGCGCGGTGCTGGGGAAAAGACCACTAAGGAGAAATATTAACCAGGTCATCCGAGATAGTACTAAGTGTAGGAAGATAACGGCGTCCTGCCCTGATAGAGACCGAGGGAAGGCGCTTTAGATCCAGGTGGTCCGGGATGGCCTCTCGGAGGAGGTGACGTTTACACGGAGACGTGAACGATGACCCGGAGCCCGCGGAGAGGAGACCTGGGGGAAGTGCGCCCCAGGTTCGCAACCACAAAGGGCGCATTCGTGGTTGCTTGCCAGCTCCTGGGGGGAAAACGCGAGAGGCCGCGGCCGCTCTCCAGCAGCCACCGACGTCCTCCCGGGGTGCCTGGGAGGAGGGGGCCC